TCTCCTGGTGATTGGCCCAAAGTCACTCAGCTGGCTTTCATGGCTAAGGTGGGACTAGAACTCCCAGTCTCCTAGAGACTGGGCCAAAACCACCCAGCTGGCATTCATGCCTAAATGGGAACTATGTCTCCAGGTGATTTCCCAAGTAAACCAGCCGGCTTTCGTGGGTAAGGTAGGACTAGAACTCCCGGTCTCCTGGTGATTGGTCCCAAAATCACCAAGCGGGCTTTCATCTCTAACATGGAACTAGAACTCCCAATCTCCTGGCTTTCATGCCTAAATGGGGACTAGAACTCACGGCCCCCTGGTGATTTCCCCAGTCACCCAGCCGACTTCCATGCCTAAGGTGGCACTAGAATTCACCGTCTCCTGGTTTCCAGCCTGACCTCTCAACCCCCAGGAACTTAACTGGCCACGGGCACCCGAGCCAAGGAATACTCGGGATTCGAACTCACCGAATCGGAAAATCCGGACTGCTGATTGGCGTGTTCCAGCTGCTTCTGAAGAGGGATAGTGCTGCTTGGCGGGATGAAACCTTAAGTGGGCACGAAAAAGGCGCAGGCATCATCACGAGAAAAGGGGTGGAAAGAAGGAGAGAGAGGAGAGAGGAGAGGAGAAGGAGGGAAGGAGGAAGGGGGGAATGGAGGGAGGGAGGATGGAAAGAAGAAAGGAAGGAGGAAAGGGAGGGAGGGAGGATGAAGAAACGAGGGAGAAGGAAGGAAGGAAGGAAAGATAGAAAGAAAGAAAAAGAAAGAAAGAAAGGAAGGAAGGAAGGAAGGAATAAAGGAAGGAGGGAGGGAGAAGGGGGAATGGAGGAAGGGATGGAGGGAAGGAAGAAAGATGGAGGAAAGAAGGAGGGAATGGAGGGAAGAAGGGTGGGAGGAATGGGGGAAGGGAGGGAGGAAGTACGGAGGGAGGGAGCGAGAGGGAGAAAGGATGGAGAAGGAACGTCCTCGATGCGTCTTGCGTTTCGGGAAAAAGGGGGCAAAGGGGAAATGTGCCTTCGGCTGGTTCCCACCCCCCTCCAGGCAGGGGATGGGATGGATGACCTCAGGCACCCTCCCCATCCTTGGTACCAGAACTCACCTGCTTGGGCAGTGGGGAAGTGACCGTGAATGGCATAACCAGCTTGTTGCTGGGGCAAATACTGCATCGTGGAGAAAGCCGACGGGCCTGGAAACCGGTGGGTGAGTGGGTGGGAGGAAGAGAAAGTGGTCAGATGTTGGTTTAATCCTGGCTTGTTCTGCCCACGTGTCTCAGGGGCCTTTCCCAGACTAACACCCGCCCCCACTTCCTTTCCTCCTGCTTACCTCGGATGGACTGGCTGCTGGCGTAGCTGACGGGCACCGTGTGCTGGCTCTGCCCCACGGCGTAGGGGCTGTGCCCGGTTTGGCTGCTCTGGTACTGCCCGTGTTCCGGGGTGCCAGCCGGGAAAGCCGGCTGGGTTGCAAAATGTCGGGTCTGACAGGGAAAAGAGAAAACCCACCACCACAACCCCCAAAAAAACAAAAAGGGATCAGATGATTCTGGACTTTTTTCTGGATCTTTCTGTCCCAAATATCCCCACCAGAAATTTTCCTCTGAGTTGTAGGCACTGTGGAGGCCATCCTCGACTTACAACTGCTCGTTTAGTGTCCGCTCGAAGTGTTTAAAAAAGTGAGTTAGGACCGTTCCCCCGCCGCTTAAGTTTTCTTTTTGTGTTCTACAGATCGCCTTCAAAGAAGTGAGGGGAGCCGAATGTCAACCCCTAAAATATTTATTTGTTTAGTG